TTCAACATTATCGTCTATCGTGATATTGTCATCATCATAATCGTCATCATCATCAGCATCATCAACATCATCATCATCAGCACCATCATCATCATCAACATCATCCATATTTTCATCACCATTATCATAATCGTAAGATTCCATATCAGAGTCATTCTTCCAGTTTTCTTCGCTAATTAATTCATTTTTCATCTCAGTTATTATTTCATTAACTTTATAATTTCTATTTTTTAATAGTTTATTTTTGGGTATGACATATTTTTYATCATTAATTGCTCGGCGGATCGGTTCCACATCACTTTCATACGTTTTCGTAACAATCGTTTTGGTTAAGGGGATTTGAGAATTTTCTATATACGTTTGTGTTAATGTTGTCTCAATTTGGTTTTCTTTGTTTTCAGTTTGGGGTTCGTCGACACTGTTCATAAAACTATTCATTTTTTTTTTCATTTGATCGAAAATACTATGCGTTTCTGCCAATGAATCGGTTTTTTCTTCGTTCGAGAAATAATTTGTAATTTGTCCAATATGTGATTTAAAAGCATCTTTCAACTTTCCATAAATGTCAGTTGCATATTGACCAACCATATTACGAATRTCGGRTTGGGACTAAAAATAAAACACAATAATGTTATTTACATAAACAAGCACTAGATTTTGAATTATTTTTATAATAACAACATCAACTATTTACCGTCTTTGAACTASAAAACTGAAATTGCAGGTGTAAAGATTAAAAGCTATCTAAATTTTTTAACTTACAATTCATAAAATAGTGTATAATATAGGTATTAGGTAAACCTACTGGGACTTCTTCAAATGTTTAAAAACAATTGAACAATGTATTTCAACTGTGACTAATTATGACTATTATGCCTTMTCAAAGATAATTTTTTGGATAACTACATGCTATACAAGTGAATATGAATAACTATGTAAATAATAACTTAATTGATGAGGTGAGTAAATCTTTTTTTCGTCGATGCCTAAAGCAGTAATTCACCTAGTGGGAATTTTTTAGAAGAAGCGTTTTACTTAAGAGGATGGCGAATCTTCTTCCACTTGTATTTGTATAAATTGTAAAACGAATACTGCTCTTACGATTATTTTCGAAAGGCCTGGGTATATATCGTCATAATATTACTCAGCTATTACCAATTTATTATTATTATTTTTGTAGGGGGATTCCTTGATAAGAGAGTAGATCATGAACACGCTCCAAATGCAGCCGGATTAGAACCAGAAAAGGTAATAGAACAACCAAAAAAACTAGTGATTCTACTCAGACAACAAGGAATATGATTAGCGAGACATACCCTCAGTCATCTATGCCAATTGCAGCTAAGTTACCTTCAACTGTTGCGCTTAAGAGTAGGACAATTCAACGTTCTCAAAATCGAAATAATGTACCTCCGCCCATCCTTGTGACTATTGATTATTTAGTAATACCTATTGAATACACACTAATTTTAAGTAATTTACGTTTTTTGCTATATTACAGTAAAAATAATGAACATTGGGATATTAATAACAGTATATTGATAATTGATATCCACAACAAATAAAAATTTAAATATACTTAACGACTCCGAAATATGGTTTGCCGATGGAATGATTAAATCTGTACACAATATATTTAATCAACTGTATACTATTCACCGTAACATTGACAGCACTGTTTATATATACTCGTATATATATATATATATATATAAATGTTTAATAAAAACGAAAAAAGTTATTTCGAAGTACTAAATCAAATTAATATACTCAAACCAAATTTACCAAAAGCTATTGTGATAGATTTCGAACAGGCATTTATAGAATCATTTGAAGAATTTTACACTGATTTTAAAATTTAAAAGACATCGATGTTTTATCATTTTATTCAGTGTTTATGGCAAAAATTKCAATCGCGTGGATTAAAGAATAGGTATTCCACAGACGTAATATTTTCCCTMGAATTAAAAAAATTATCGACTCTTGCTTTTGTATCTATTAATAATGTTATTTCTGCATTTGAAGAACTAATTAACTCCAACTATTACGTAGAAAATGATTAAGATTTATAAATAGTCGTTGATTATTTTGAGAACACGCGGATAGGGAGACACGTGGTGGTAGGCGAAGAGCATCTACTTTTCCAATTAAAATATGGAATATGTTTGATGTATAATCCAAGGACAAATAATGCAGGAGAAGAATGACACAGAGCGTTTAATTCTGCACTGGCAGCTAACCGTGTAACAGAGTGAAAGTTCGTATTATAAATATGGTAAAGCAAGAACATGGTCTACAGGAGGCCAAAATAGAACATCATACAGCTGGTGTACCTCAACAAAAAAAAGGCAAAACTATAAAAATTTGGACGAGCGGTTAATTGCTGTTATGAGAGAATATGATGAAACTATAATAACAATAAATATTTAAAATCAATAGTACATAACTTAGTATTATAGTAAGCATAATAATTTTAGACTAAAAACTACCATTCAATTTTTTTTTAATTAATTAAAAATGTTTTAATTCATTTTTTGTATTCTATAAATATATTAATATCTTTTTAACTTGTATAAAAAGGTTTAAATTTTGAATTAATAGTTACGCGAATATTTAGACCGGGATATTTTTACATGGGATATTTTTTCATGGATTATTTTTGCGGGGATATTTTGATTGGAYTATTTTTTACCAGTATATGGGTAGTGAGGTTTTTGAAAATCTAAAAATGGGTAGAGTGCGTTGTGTAAAAAAGGTTGGAAATTACTGATTTTCGTCTATAATCAATACATGTTGATACAAAATATTATAAAATATACGCGTACCTGATCTCCGTTGACTTGGGCATTGGCGTTGTCCGAGGCCCCTAGCGTGGTGAGTAGCGCCACGTTCAAGGACAACGTTACCACGTCACGCATCGACAAGTCGGGMATGATGTACTTGGTCAACTTGTTCACCAGTGGCAGGTACGGAGCAGCTTCCACCAAACTTTTCTTCACATCTGACCCGATAGCCACGATTTGAATCTCTTTAGACGATTGCATCATATCCAGGAAGCTGTTGTAGGCCTCATTGACAGTCGCAGTTATCCCGGGCTTGACGGTGGTTGAGAGGTCAGCGTCCGAGGTAACGGTTGTATTCTCGRCACCGTTTTTATCATCGTCTTCGTGAACGAACTCCATGTTCGGCATCGGAATTTTAAACGAGGAGAAAAATCCCCGTTTCCTCCTCAAGATATTATACAAGTCGTCGAATTTAAGTAATTCGATTTTGGACGATTCGCTGACATCGGATATGACGTCATTCGATAATATATACTCGTCATATTTATGTTTAATCTGAATTCCATGCACCTATTATTATRATATTTACGTAAACGTGGTGTATAATATTATTATTTAACATAATAAATATAATAGATCTATATACTTTATATATTAAACGAAAATCAATCAATAATAATCACATTAATAATTTAGACGATATATTATTAAAGGAACGGTCGTACTTATATGTGTGTGTAGTGTGTACGGCCGTTAGTACGTGCGTTGCTTTCATATTACAATTATTATTACCTATAGATCTAAATAAATTTCTTATAATTTTGGACCTTCAATAGACAAACGCAATGTTGACCCGAAAGAATTTACAATGGGGAGGAATAGTTTACTACCACTCGTTTGCATTTTATGATTAATGTACTTGTTATTTAAATAAGTAATAAAATCCTCTGAACAGAGAACACGCCTGACACATGCAGTGGTGACCGAGCTGTGGTAAACTCTTCCGATTGTATGGCTAAATCTCTCGGGTCAACATTGTGTATAGTTGACATTACTCGTTAGCTGGTAGACGGAAGTGTTGTTCGACTTACAACATTGCATGCGATTACGAAGACCACAACAGCATAGTGATGGAAACAGTTCATAATTCGTAGTCGATACAGTGAATGTGGTGGCGTACGGTGTACTTATACGGTGTAGTCGTGTAGATGATAATATATAATATTATTGTACATAGGCTTATAATCAGATTTTATGATGCTACTCGGTCACGTCACGACATACAATTTTTAAAAACGCGATCTAAATAAAATTATTATCATAATATTATCGGTAGACATTTATAGCGTTCATGATGCGTGGTTTTACATACAAACTCATCTGTAGGTGACAAAAAGTATTATTCATTTGTGCAAACATAAGTACATTAGGTAAGCAACATATTACATGATAAACGCTGTCAAACCGTGACATTTCAGTTTTATTATAGGAATATGACGCACATACTTTTTACCTTTATGAAGAGCGGGCCGTGTGGGGGCATATACATTTATATTATTTTTTGTTAACAAAATCAAATTTCATTCGCATGTATTTATATGGTCGCATTTATCATTTAATTGTGTGGTATACAATGAGAAAAAAAACGACGAGTTCATTCTTGCAAATTTTACTAATTATTATGATATAATATCATGTATTTTGGTGTACCCARACAACTATTTTAATGTCACACTATTGACCTTATATTGTTATTTCCCATGTAAAAATATATTTTTTTAAATTTGGATTTTTAATATTTATAGTTCTAGGTAGGATTTTTAGGAAATTGGTACCTGCTCATGATGCTATAATTTTGAAAAAATATCCTACTTTTAATTGTAGTCTTGTATAATTTTATCATTTATATTTCATAAACAAAGCAAATAAGATAAGTATAAAAAACTATTTAAGTTTTGGTTGTATAAGTTAATACTACTCCGATCATCTAAATTTAAAGCCTAACCTTAATTAAATCTAAAATAACCTGCTCATAATAATTTAATATTCAATATTTATACATTGACGTTTTTATTAAAATATTAG